GGGACCATTTTCATAATTTTTGCAAGAGACTAAGTTTAAATGATGAAAATGATGAAAATAATGGATGACCGGATAAATGATTGACGTCTGCTCAGTCGGCATTAAATCTGTGCCTGTTACATGGCTGGTATGCATTAAAGGTCCCTTACCTTACAATCCCAAAATTATGGGTACCATCCAGACACCGATGTGTTTTTGTTTCTTATAATCAAGTTTCACAATGAAACTTGGATTATACGAATGTTGAAGGTAAACAATTGACAATTGTAACATATGAAGAACGCAATTTACCAACTTGGTCGGATGGCCCTTGCTTTGTTAGATCTTTAAGTATGATGAATGCTAGTTAGAACACATCGCTTTATAGTACCGTAGTTTAAGTAAAAATTATTTACTGCTTGTTTTCTTTTCTTTTTGTAAAGCGCATTGAGGCTTTTTGAGGAATGCGCTATACAAGTATGGAATTATTATTATTATTATTAAATGTGTATTTGATATTTGATGATGATTATGAGGATGACCATGATGATTTTGACGGTGATAATGCTAACAATAGTAACGGTTATGAAGATAATGATGACGATGATGATAATAATAATGATTGTTAAGGATGATAATAATGATGACGATGATGATAAGGATGATGATGACCATGCTCCCCCCTCCAGACTTAGCCAATGGCTGTTCTTCCCTGGGGCCGTGTTAAAATAGAATTTAAAACAGTAGACACTACACTTAATAGGCCCGTATCCAGGGGGGGGGGTGGATTATGGTTCGAGAGAACCCCCTTTTCTAGCAAACCCCCTCTTTTCTGGCGAAACCCCCTTCGTTAAATTTTCCAAATAAGTCCTGATGATGACCATGCTCCCTCGTCGGACAGGCCTGGATCCCACTTCGTACGACGCCACGACGAGTTCGTCGGACTAAAATTATTAATTTGCCCATCCAAATCGTTATTGTCATTTCCTAATATTGTGGTCTAATAGCACAATTGTGGGTCATACTAAGCCGAAAAAGTTCTTCCCATGAACCCATGATTTTTTTTTTCTGGGACCCTGATCGAGGCTCTAGTTGGCCCTTTGGTTTGAACCCCGCTGTCGGACATGTCAGACCTCTTGTCGGCAAATTTCTTGAGCCCCCTGTCGTAATTGTTTTTCCACTTGCTTTAAAAAATGGGGTTTTAACATAGACGAATAATTGGGGGCGGGGGGTGGCTGGGGTTAATTGATATGATATCCCTAATTATAAAATGTAGGAAGGGGAGTGTCCCCTGTCCCCACCTGATCGACACCCGTGGGCCAACGAATCTATCCCCGCAGTCTGAACGAGTTCCTCATTAAAAAAGAAATGATCCGCTACGCACGCCTCATCCACTGGCCTCATCTCGCGTTGAGTCCTCCGCGGGTCCGGTCATCCTGTGCGTGTCCAGCTTAAGATGCACATAGGCCATGGTGTCGGGCTGCCAAGGATCAATGGCTCAAATTAATGATGTTCCTGTATTCACAGGAACAGCATCCTAAAGAGGGTAAACAACCGTCATGGCTCAGTGCGCACCCAATAATATAATGATAATATTGAAATAAATGAATAATTTTCTTGTTCATGACTGCTGTAACATCTGTCTACATTTGTAAATCTTCATTAGAGGTAACTTAAAAGAAAAAAGAATAAATTATTATGAAGAGGATAATATTGATAGGACTAATGATAATGATAATGGTGATGATGATGATGATGATGATAATGATGATGATAATAATAATAATAATAATAATATCTTTTCATATGTTAATATGGAACTTAGAGATATATAGTAAAATTAGAAACAGTTGAATATTAACATACATCAATGAGAAACAGAGGCATCTCATTGAGAACCATACCTAGATGAGAATCGTATCGTATCTGAGTGAGAAACACGAGAAACATAGCTAAACGATATTTCTCAATAAGACAGGGGCGCAGATCTGAAAAGGGGGGTGGGGGCAGTCGTGAGTACACCCACCCATGGTGGGGCTGAGGCTGGAGTGAAAATTTGAGGAAATACTACCTCATGGCCAGAAATGACACTCTTATAGTAAAATTCATCATCGTAATCTTGCATTACAATCTTTCAGTAAAATCTGGGTGAGTTATGCAGTTCATTTCAACAATTAGGCATCTACTTGACTTATAATAATAATAAACTTTATTACACGTGTGGCCCAGATTTAGCCAATGGCTGTTCTTCCCTGGGGCCGTGTTAAAATAGAATTTAAAACAGTAGACACTACACTTAACAGGCCCGTATCCAGGGGGGGGGGGTGGATTATGGTTCGAGAGAACCCCCTTTTCTAGCAAACCCCCTCTTTTCTGGCGAAACCCCCTTCGTTAAATTTTCCAAATAAGTCCTCCAAACCAACTAATGCACTGCAGACCCACCCCAGACACAGACATTTTCAAACATATCTGCTTTTATAGCATTATTTAGACCCATAAAGCACAAAAATCCTCTTGCTTTGGGGGTTTCGCCGACCCCACCGGGGCATTGACTGTGGACCTCACGCCCAGAACCCCCACCCCCCCCCCCCCTTGGAAGAACCTGGCTACGGGCCTGCTTAATGTTAAACAAAATAATATTAGAATTCTACAGCATAAAAGAAGAAAAACATAGTACAGTATAAATTAGAGGTAGGAATAATAGACAGGAATCATTTGCAATAACTAACTACAATTTACACCACCAATAGCACCTATTAAATTACATTGCGGTCGAAATGTGGGACCCAACCTCTTCCAGTACCTTCAAAATATGTGGTGGGGGTGGGGGGTGGACGAGTTCCCCTTCTCCATGATCTGCGTCTATGATCAGATACAATGTTGCATGAGAAACAAAGTTAGAATCATAGCTCATATATATAGAATTATATTTGAATAAGAAACATAAGAAGTATAGTTAGATATGAAACATACAAACAACACAACAATAAGAGACACACCTAAGTGACAAACATACCGATAATTAACGTTAAACAACATACTTTAATGTGGAATAACACGAAAAACACATAAACTTTCATTAAAATAAAAAACATACCCCAATGAACACCAACCGTCACAAAACAATCGTAAGTCTAACTGAATGAAGAAACAATTTTAGTACAGGATGAAATGATATGATATGGTGTGATATGGTATGATATGGTGTGATAAACGTTAATATACTGTATATGTCATTATATGATATTATACAGTGTATGATGTGGTATGGTATTGTGAGATCAGTTGAGATATATGTTATTATTGTGATATCATATATGATTTGTATAGATAGTTACTGAGATCAGTTGACATAGGCCTGATTATCTGATATTATATAATTTATGATGATATGGTATGGTATGGTACATGATATGTTATATGATGTATAATACGATGTGATATGGCATATGATATGGTATGATGTGATATGGTATGCTAGGTTGTATTACATTATAATATGTTATATGATATAGTATGATATGACATGATAAGATACGACCGGGTATGATATATAATAT